TGATCATATATAAGTTCATGGTCGTATTAAAGTTTTTGATCATATACAAGTTGTAAGTGAAATAAAGTACAAGTCACCGAGGAAGTAAGCTAGGGTGGAGTGGAGGCGGGGCAGCGTGTCGGTCCACGGCGGCTTGAGGAAGGAGAGCTTGCAGTTGCTGGAGGCGTTGGTCTGGACGGACGGCGCGTCGAACGAGAAAACAAAGCAATGGGAATTCTTCTCGCAGATGTTCCGGCATTGACCTTTGAATAAAATTAATTGTTCATTGTTTTATTTTAGTGAAATGATCTATTTTAGTGAACAATTATTTATCTTTTCGTGTGGGGTTTAAAAAACCTATCTAAACATTCATAATGAATTTTTTATCGGTTACTTAAGTGTATTTCACGCGCTAAACATTCGTGCATAAACTGAAACACTTGGTGCACGGGCATAGTGCCAACTACTTTCATCCCTGCGTACTATCGAACTCGGAAATGCTCTGCATGCCACCACTTACTCACATCTCATTCCTATTTTCCTTATTCACGACTCTTTTTCCGTATAATCCCTCTGTATTATCCTTTTTACTATCCCTCCGTATTATCACTCTGTATTATCTCACCTTATAATTCATCCGTATTATCTCCCTTCATTATCCCGCGTTTTTATTCCCCATGGTTTTCTCGCTTTCTAAAAATCTTTCTTGTAATCTTCTATAACTTTTCGAGTTATAAGCCTTTACTTCTAGCAACTTTTTTGGGGTCACCCTGTATTATATTTATTATCCTGCCTTACAATCCTTCCTGCCTTATATTAATTTGTCACCTTCATGACTCACATAGGGAATACGCGCTGTAAGCCACGTCAGGGCTGGCGAGCGTCAGGTTGGGCGTCAGGACCATGTCCCTCCTCGCGTGTCCAGTCAGGAGACTAGAACCTAGCGACGCCAACAGCGCGGAACACTGCGTTGAGAGTGTCGTGAACACCAATAATATCATCACCAAAACCATCGCGCTGACACCAGCAACTGGTGTTACTTGAATATATTTAAGATAATTTTATACAGTAATTCAAGGATTTAATATTCAGTACAAATGGACGTTCCAGATGGGCTGTCAGTTACTAATTTTTTTAGAGCTAACGAAATGAACTGAAAAATGAAATTGCTTTTAATGTTGGTATAATTTTAAGGGCCAGATAATATCGTACTGATGGATCGGCATAACACGAAAAATGTGAGCTTGAAAAAAGTTAACATCTCGATTTCGAAATTCAAAATAAACAAAAAAAAAGAAATAAGTTGCATAAGATATAAGTTAATGTAAGTCGAAACTGTAAATCAGCGCTCTATTCTTGAAATGTTTTGCACCGAATCTTTTTTAAAAACGGTAAATATTGTCAGCACGCTTGTTCATAATATTTGTTAGCTATTCAAGAGTAGTAAAACAGTTCGAGTTAGTGCACAATGTAGTCTGAACTTGGACGAGGTACATGTTAGCACTCTGGTAGTTGCTCTCAGAATGCGACAATTTTTCACGAGTCACGAGAAGCTTGTTTGCTGGGCGCCAGCAAATGAGCCGGCCACACTGCAGCTAATGCGACCCCCATGGATCAATGGCAACCGTGACGGAAACGACAGCGAGCCGCATGATTGATGAGAATTTTTTTCATGAAACCCTGATGAACTTTTAATTCAGCACAGTCCATTTCGAAAAGCCCGATGGCAAATAAATTATTCAGGTTGTTTAAAGTTGAAGGTTGCATGAGTGAAAGGTTATGCGAATTATAAAGTGTTACTTATATACAATGCGCTGGAGGTTTGAGGAACGAATTTCTGGAATGATATTCATCAGAATTTATTCCAGTGAAAATAAACTTTAAGCATGGTGGACACACTTGCATGAATAATCAAGAAGGAATTGATTTGGTGTTTCCGTGCACTGAAATGTGCATTTCCTTGTTGAAATAAATGCAGAATTCCAAAAGTGAAGAGCGATGGTAATTTTCACTTGAAATTCCAATTCAACCAAACTTTTTAGCACTAAGAATATCGTAAAGATAGAAATGATGCAAATTTTATATAATTTTTTCCTTGGCATCGAGATAAATCATACACACAATTACTTTTCGTAGTGTGTATATTATTTCATGCATCTTTAAAAAGTTCAGAAATGAATACTTCTTCTAAGGTTGAATGGCATCTTATGTTCGATTCGGTCGCGAGACATTGTAGAAGAATGTCTAGCTTAGCAGTCAAACTTCACGCGTGTCGTCTCGCTGCTTCAAAAATTATAGTCTCTTTTCAGATCTCAGCTACGATTTTACTGTGACAGTTAAATCAATGCCATCATTAACGATATTGAATCTCCTCTTCACCGTTACGAGCGAGATTCATGCTCTGATATTTTTGAAGCATGAATTGTGTCTAGATTAGTTCATGATTGCATGCAATATTTTTGTCCTATAATATATGTGATAGTATAAGATTTATGCTGCAGCACCTTTGTTCAACATAAAATACAGATGGTTGACGATTTTAAGTACATTCGAACGCGGCGAAAATGAAATCGTTAGAGAATAGCGAAACTGGCAGCCATCCACCGTCGGCCACCGTCGATACGACCAAAAACTTGGAACTTTTACATATTCCGGACTGATGCATGTAGGCCTGGGGCCATACTTTCAAAAATATAACTCAGTACTCACTGCAGTGAGTGACAGCTAGAGAGCGCATTTTCTCGTCAACGAAAACGTGAAGTCACGGACGGACAGACAGACGGACGGACGGACGCACAGACGGACATGGCGAGAACAATAGTGCATTTTTTCCATAAATGAGAAAATGCGCTAAAAATAGTTAAGATATCGTAAGTTCATCAGCCAATCATTGACGGCCTTTCAAGCAAAATTCGCCAGTCATAGATAAGAAAAAGAACGTAAGTACTTACGTACACTTAGCGAGTTTTGAAACTATGGCCCCTGGGCTCCAGTATATAGGCCCGGGCTCGAGGTCGACCAAATCCGATCCGCTAACAAGAATCGAGAACGTCCCACAATCCGATCATCTTGTCAAGCGCTCCTGCCAATGATGAACTACAAAGTTTGAAGCCCATTTAATTTCCTGTATGTTGTCGAAATCAGTATGCAGTTGAGAAATTTCTAAGAAAATGATATATGCGTAATACATGAAAGAACTAAAACTTATCTTGTTCTCGCTATAATCTATGGAACTCATGGATGCCATATTCTAGAAGGTCACTTGCCCATGTTACAAATCTTCCATTAAAGAAGTATGCATCAGGCAGTTGCCCTCTGCAGCATGCATCAAGCAGTTGGGGAACTTGAGAAACCGTCTGTTAGGTCGTAACTGCCTGTTAAGTTGACCCTTAAATCTCCCTCGAAACTTAAAGATTTGTGAGGCAGTCGCGCGACTGTGCTGCTCGATACCACCGCCACATTCCCATCTCATTCCAACTTTGGGAACCTGGAACAGACCTAACGGTAATTAAGGGCAGCTAGCAGCCGCGTCCATGGCCAAAGAGTTAGAGAGAAGTCATCTGACGCAAAATAAACGAGGGCACTTTGTTGGTAAACTTAGGCAATGGTTCTCGATGTATTGTTACGGCAGACGGACACGATAATACGTGCTTCTTACATCGATCTATTCGCAATTGTCTGACCTTTGGGTGACAGAGTACGGGGGGTGGCCCATTTTGGTCCTGTTTGATTTAATAAGCATAAGAATATGATGTCCTTTACCAATTATAAATAAATAAACTATTTGGCAGTGACAAAGAGGATAGTGTCTGCTATTACTGAAATGCAGACCCAGTGCCTTATTATGGCTGAAAATTAACCAGTGCCCTAGAATGATGAGCAATGAAATTACTATCATAGAATGAAGAGAAATAAATATACTATCAAAGAATGATGAGAAATAAGTATACTATAATAGAATGATAAGAAACAAATGTGCAATCTAAATATGAAGAGTAATATACTATTATAAAATGATAAGAAATAAATATACTATTATAACATGATATTAAATAAATATACTATCAATGAATGATGAGGAATATATATACTATCATAGAATGATTAGAACTTATGTTCCTTATGCAGAAATTACTGTTCTTTGCCTGAACATTTTGCTAAACGATGTACGTATATGACTGATTCATCAGTCTGAAAAAGTACAAAATTGTCGGTTATGAATTTATTTCTATAGTTTGATGAAAATTTTCGGAAATTTAAATTGATAGTGTATGAATTGTGTTTACGTCCTCCTTCGCTAACAAAATTCGGGGTATGCTTCAGCTATGTTTCAGTTGCTATGTTTGCGTAAGAGTTATTCTGGGTCAGTTGGCCACCTGATCGCAATCAGACTAGTTGCGACTAGTTGCGACTAGCTGGCTGATTCAGGGACCGGAATGTAGACCAAAAAGCGGACATAGAGAAGCTGGTGGACTATGTTCCCCGAGTCCTAGGCGTTACTTAATCCAGAGCCGCCCTCGGCTCTAAATTTTGTTAGGGAATTGTTCTTTCCTAATTTTAACATTCTCAATAAATATTCTCAAGTGCTTTAACATACATATTTCCTTTGCTTTAAATTCATGACCAGAGTAAAACCCAGTGCCATAAAATAATAAAGATGCAGAGAAATTCACCCTGTGAATTATAAATGTTAAGAATTGAACAGAGTGCTATTAAAAACTGAGAAAAAAAAGAAACAGAACTAATTTAATGTTGACAAAAATACTACAGGAAAAGAATGCAGAGAAATCCAGTTTATGATGTCGAATAGTTAGAAATAGTCACAATGCCATCTAATATTCATATTAAATGCAAGGTTTCCGATATGAATGAATTTCTTGCTCACCAGTATTAAGAAATTTAACTGCTTCGTTGAAATATCCAAGGTCATAATTTGACAATTCCATAAAACGGTAAATTTTCGTTCTAGGCCAGTTTAACCCAAAACAAATGCTGATGGTTGGACAAAGAAACCATTTACCTCCAATCTTGTTTTATTGCAATTCTTACGCACAACAGCAAATTCGATGACTGTAACAGCGTAGAAATCTTAACAGATCGCCTAACACGAATAGGATACCAACAAAGATTTTGTAATAGATGATAGTTGTCAATATCTATAGTGGTCCGAATATAATAAATGAAAATCGCCAATTGTGTTCAAATTAAAATTGAGGCAACATATCGTGTTATTAATTAGCTACCTTGTAAAAATTTTTAATTTCGCATTTAAAAGAGGCCTTAGGCATCACATCAACTTCCAAAGACTGTAAGCATGGGAACTTTCCTCTCCTGAGCTTAATGTTGACTGCGAAAAGTTTAAGAAAGTATAGTTTGCAGGGCTCATTTAAACTCACAATATATTCGGTTGATATTTATAAGGAAGGTTTCCATCGCACCACATTACTGACATGGACAGGATTTTCCACAAAAATTATTTAACAAATTCATTGACAACTTAATTTCTCGATTATTTCATTCTAATTCAAAGAGTTCACATAAACCAGTACTAAACTGCAAGACTAAATAAGTTACCAGGTATTAATACTTGGAATAAATACCCTTAAACCAGAATCTTCAATTTTGAAACCAAAAATTTAGTGAATTACTTAAATTTGGAACATCTAAAGCTGATCTTGAACTGAAGATTCAAGCATGGGTGAGATTTCGAATAAATTATTAACAATTAAGTGACATGAAGATAAAAAAAGTTTTAAGGATTTCTAAACCTCACTTCAGAAATTATGAAAACATTTTGCAGTGTTCATCCTTTCTTCTATTGATAACAATTCAATATGAACTAAAACTAAAATCTAAATTAGTCCTGAGAAAGTACGAGACACTAAAGTTCTCAAATTATACAACTTAAGTAGGAACACATGAACACACAGCGGCACACACAGCGGCGCTCTATTCCCAGGGGCCAATTATCATAAATTGTACATTTAGCGTCCTATATGTACATGTGGCGGTCTGAGTACACGTAGCCGCCTGATCGAGTACACGCAGTGTCCTAAGTACACGTAGCGGCGGTAGTACACGTAACGGCCGATATATCGTCAGTGATTATTGGGTTTAGCTTGAAAATTCTTCAGCGATTTAATGAAAGCATTAAAAACTTTCAACTATTTTTGGCAGTGCGGCCAGTGGATGGTAACCTGGGTTTACGTTACGACAAATGGCGAGCTAAACTCCGTCGATTTTACGACTTTACGACCTCATGGATATTATCCTTCATTAAATTGAGTGAGTAACTCTGGGCGGCAATCATCAACCAATCACAAAAAGTTCTATACGTAGCATGATCAGACAAAATAAATATTCACACATTTTATTATCGTTTATGGCATGACAACAAAGTTATTTGTTCCTTGAGAGATGCGTGTACCACGAAAGAAGGACATTAATTATGCCATGAATGCAGTCTCGTGTGTTTGGTACAGCTAAATATATCATAAAGAGGAAATGTATGCCACTCCTTGCTTATCCTTGTTCAATCAAGCGCAATAATAAATATTCTATTATTAGAGTGACAATTGAACTGAAGAACCAAGCAGGGTTGAACAATTAGTCGATTTAAGCTTAATGAAATGAATTAAATAATATCTTGCAATATTATATCTTATTATTATAAAATAGAAATGCTCGCAAACACTAATCGGTATTAGATTTATTCAGGACCTAACGGGCTAGCAAAATATTTAAAAGAAATTTATTCTTCCATAGAGAACCAAAAATTTGTAATATATTGACTCTACGATAGTCATCTTAATTATTCGATTTTATTTGAAAAATATACAATGTATATATAAACATTTATTCCACAAGCTATAGGTAACATTCCGTACGCGATAGATTCAACTTCTGTTTCAATCATCATAAGAAAAGACGAATTATTTAATTGAATGTGATTGCTGCAACTATGAATAATGCACAACAATTGGAAATTGAACTGAATAATTACCAGATATCCCTAAAAATTGAGCTCCTCATCACAATCTGGTTAACAACCAAAAATCGTATGCTACGCTTGTAGCCTGGCGCATTATATTAAGTCATTGTCCTAAAAGTTAATAATTAACCAAATATCGTACGAAGTTGTTATTTCAATAGAACGCAGCAAGCTATAAAATTCAAACTATAACATTATATTTATTCAATTAGTAACTGTACATTTTTATTTTTATGGGTAATTAATACAAAAATAATTATGATCCAATAGAGTGATCACCCTCCTTATACTTTCATATGCTATCCCAACAATAACGACCGTTCAAACTCCAACAAATTCTTGTCAATAACTAACCTACCCGGCACACGAAATTCAGCTAAAACTATGACGAGGGACTTGAAGATTTTATTAGTTGGCTAGTTTCTCTTCTCAAACTCTTGGAACTGAAATGAAATAATTAAAATAAATATGTACACTACTAAACAGCCGCACAAAATTCTCAACGTAAAATTAACGAGAGAAAGACTGCCGACAACAACAAGGAACGAGGTCGGAGGCTCTCGGCTGCGTTCCAGAACCCAAATTCTCTGTTGAAACCATTAGTTCTACCAGAGTTTGGATCAGGTCCTTGCCCTGGTCCGTACTGGTGGTTCACGTGGGAATCATAATACTTTCTTTCCTCCACAGGAAAAGTCGCAGGCGATTCATGAGCGTGGGGATAGCGACCAGGGTGATAAATGTTCGGTGCCAAGTTAGGGTAACTTGGCGCAACGTGAGGGAAATTCGGGACCATGTTTGTGTGCGGGCTTTTGGCTGCGGACGCGTCGTCGCTGGGCGGTTTTTCACAGTGCGAAGTGTCGTCCGAGATGCAGCTGGCGTAAGCGATAGCGTGAGGAATGTAGCTTTGCTCCACTGTCCCTGAGAACAGGTAACTGCCGGGGCCTGTCGCGTACACTGGCACGTCTTCTCCGCTGTGGGTCTCATACCTGTCACCAAGGTATTGTGTTTGTCAGTGGACACTTGAGATAAAGATGTGATTTTTGATGTAATTTTTTTAAATTTTACACAGTTAATTATTATTTAAACTTCAATATATTTCGTGTTAATTAATAATTCTACTGTGATCCAGAAATATACAGCTAGAACTGAAATGAATAGTGTTTTGGAAAATGTACTTCGATAACCGGATAACAACACAAAGAAATTTTTCCTAGTCGGTATACTTCAAAAATATTCTCCATTCAATAAAAAAAACATTTGATCATTCATTAATTTAAATGACGAGCCGGTAAATAATTATAGAGGACGCTCACCGATTGAGTGACTCTCATACCTACGCAAATGATTACTAATGATATAGTCTGCATAACAAATATATATTTCTCTGATCGGTAAACCAATGGCAATGCAGACAAATAAATTGCAAACATGTTGAATAAATATATATTTTTTCAATTCGCCTCTTTATTAAATATGCTGGTACCAGAAGATAAAAGTTTACTTTCTGAACTTACATCCTACTTGTATGTGAGGAAAGGATGTGAACATCCAAATAAATTTTCTCCTTCGCTCGCTTATCATTTTAACGAACGAGTTCCAAGTCAAAGGTGGGGAAAATCAATGATTTAAGTGCAAGCGTCAGCCACCGCATAGACCGCACCTGGAAATATAGTCCACACAAAAGGCCCGCGGGCTCGGCACTTTCATGCCAGCGCAGAAGTTATTTATCAAGACGCATTTCTGAAAGATGCCGCAATTTTGTTGCAAGGGCGGATCATCACTCACTTCCTAGGTACGGCCGCCTGCTGTACGAAATTGACGTCCTGTGGATTTATAGCCGTGATATTATGACGGCCAGACGGTGTAGCATGAGCATATCCGGGTCCATTGCCGTACAGAAGCGTCGTGTACGGCTTGTAATCCAAGTCTGATACACTCGCGTCAAAACCTGACCAGAAACAAAACAGAGGTGCACGGTTATTCAAAGCTGCGTTAGTGCAGTATGAAACTATGATATGAAATGAGTATGAAACAATTGTAGCTATGATATGTAGGCGAGTCTTTTGAAGAAGCAAAAAGATAATTCCGTCCGGGAAATTGCATTGTCGCTTCTCCTACAAAAATAGCAGAGTCGTAAAAAGTTTTAACTTATCTGTACTTGAAGATTGCAATCATTTCCAAGCGCAAGAGCAATCAATCCGCGGATTACAGACCGAGTATTTAAGTTATTTATCTAGTAAATTGTTCTTCAACGTTTCTGTAATAGACTTCGTAATTCATGTCACATATTTCCATGAAATATTTGATGCAGAAATTTTTCTATTTAGTTCACCTACACGTGGCAGGTGAGCATCTTGGAAAAAAACAACCTTCTCACATTTGTGCCTCCTTACAAATGCAATAGATTACAAATTCATCCCCATATTGCCATTAAATTAGAGCATTATATCTATTGAAACTTCAATCCCTAGGACTGTATCTCTTGTCCACGAGTCCAAGTTTTTCTAGCTTCTTTCCTATACTTCCAACATTATTCATATTTACTTATTGGCGTTTCACTTGTTTGTAACTTCCTATCAAACTGATTTAATATTATCAAGAAATCTGAGCGTATAATTTTGCGCATCATTATTTAGTTTAGTAACCTATACCTTCATCTCTTGTAAATTTCAGAGTTATAAAATTATCTATTATATTTTGTCTCTCAAATCATACGTGAACTGAGGAATCGACTGAGCCATAGACAGTATTCCATTCGAAAGAAAACATCGAGCTGATAATATGTATTTATTTGTGATATAACTTTAGCTTGAAACCTATCAAGTTCCAAAACGCCTCCATTGGATAATATGCATAATCATTCTACTGAAGAGCACTGACACGCATTTTGCGCTTTAATTCAAGGCCCAACACGTTCTATATATTTAATGAATAATTAATTTTTATCACACATGATAGACGAAGACAGAGCCTCATATTTTCAAAGTCCTAAGTATCGTCCACGCTCAACATAAACTATAAAATTATACGATGCATCAAAGCATCTCATGTCTACTTTCTATATGTTAGAGAGCTGACGCAAATATATTCCTAACATTCTTCATCAAATAAAACCATGAGTAATGCCTAAAATTGGAAAAGAAAATAACTCAGACGAAATTAAATTCATTAACTTGTCAAATAGATTGCTGGCTCCCTGAAGGAGCCTAACAAAAAACACGTTTTGACAAATTTTCAGAAAAATAATGAATACATTTTTTGCAGGAGAGATCCTCAATTTGCTCTTATTAAAGTTGGGAGTTCGTTCCCACTTAAAAAAAAGACTCAGTAGGACAGATTTTTCGATTTCTGTGTCGCTTTATACAATAGATACTATAATTCTAGTACAAATTTATTCAAGACAACACATATTCCGGCAGTATTTCCCAAACCCTGCCTTCATCTCGCTCTGATTTAAGAGGCTTAAAAGCACCGCTTCATGACATAACTAAATGAAAGATGACGCAATACGTTATTAATCTGATAAGGATGCGGCCGCAGCATCTATTAAACATGCATGAGACCATCTGCCGACTGTCCGAGGGGATTACCAGAGTCATCAGGTACTCGCTATACTCGGCATGATGAAACTACCATATGGAATGACTTACCACATGGCGATACACATACCAGAGATACATCAGCATGGATCTATTAAATACTAGGAATTGCTGCTTGAGAGGAACGGTTGTTGTCTCTAACGCAGAAGCAGAGAAAATGTTTAAGGAAGCGTGCATTTGGGGTCGTGAATTCACATCTTGATAAAAGGAAGTTAACAAAAGAAGGCTATGGCCTAACAAAATAATTTTAAATTATATCTCTTCGAAGCAAATACCATCACTTCAAATCACATCAAGTGAAAATAAATATCAAAAACAAATTGAAATTTACGTACATGCTCAGACTGAAACATTGACTAAAGAAATTATTCATCATGTAGGTGCCTTCGCAATAAACAGAGCGTGATCACCCATTCACTATAAATACATACACACAAACAAGGTCACTAACGAGATGAAGGAAGCAAAATTGTAACTAACTGAGCTAATTAATCAGGCGTAATGAGGCAGTATTCAATCATGGATGACGTAAGCAGGAATGCTGTTCGTACACAAACCAGTAATAGGAGTCCCGCGAGGTGTGTTGTCACTACGAATGTGATAGCATGACCATGTAATGAGGCGGGATTGCATTAAGCAATATACATAATCAGTAATGATGTTCGACAACTAACCAGTAATAGGAGTCCCTCGAGGTGTGTTGTCACCACCATATGTGATGACGTGACTGTAATGAGGCTGGATTGCATCAAACAATACGTAATCATTAATGCTGTTCGAGCACCAACCAGTAATAGGAGTCCCGCGAGGTGTGTTGTCACCACCAAACGTCATGACGTGGCTGTGATCAGCGGTGACAACTAGCAGCGTGTCGGCGGCGCTGGTGAACTGCAGCGCCGCAGCCACGGCGTCGTCCAGAGCGACCACCTCCTCCAGGGCGCGCCTAGCGTTGTTGTGGTGATGCGCGTGGTCGATGCGCCCGCCTGCACCAGCATTAAAACGCCCCCAGGGACAGAAAAATTGCTGTTAGAAGAGAGTTTCCGTATGTTCGTAGGTGAGTTTCGAGGAGAAAAGAAACACATAGCTTCAAAATGGCTTGAATGACTCTATTCTAAACGTATTTTCTTTAATTATTTAATTCCTGTCTTCAATTATTCGTCTACGTCCGTAAGAAACCTTTAACTTCTCCTTGTCATTATACGCCTTGACAGGAACTGTGATTTGGCAATGCTGTAATCCAATTACCTGGTCATTAAAGACAAAATTCATCTCACTAAAAACTGTGAAATAATACGATAGCAACAATCCGCCATTACCTTCAACCATGAGGAAAAATCCTTTGCTATTTTTCTGAAGGATTTGGATTGCTTTTATGGTCATCTCAGCAATAGAAGGATCACCGCCGGCCCCTTTGTTGCGGTCCACTTCAAAGTCCAAGTGAGAGTAGCCGAAAATGCCTGCGTGGTGGGCGGAATGCGGATTCAATTAATTTAATTTCTTGCGGATTTTAATTTTATTTATTTAATAGGATATTTTCAGTATTCAGTTGTGAGAAAATCACATGAGGAACAAATTTTGTGGATAAAATATCAGTTTGTCAACGATGTTCCTTGTCAACATCGAGGGATCTTATACTGTCGATATATACTGCTCACACAAATCACCGAGTCGCGGTTCAAGATCCAAGTTATAATTACTAAACAAAATCTCGTGTTTGAACGAATAATTCATTATGTTGGAAAAAAATATTACGATAATAGAAATTTGCGACTTATATTTTCCACACATTATGGTTTCAGTTCTGAACCTGTCGATTCGCTCTCATTTATTCCATTATTGCCAATCGTGTTTTTTTTTAGTGTGAAATAACGAAAAACATTTCCCTTGCATTGTTAAAAAGTCGAAATCTTCGGTGACGGTTTGTTCACTTTAATTCAGTGTCATACCAAATAATTAAAGAAATTAGATCAGTATTCACTGCAGTGAGTGACAGAGAGCACATTTTCTCACTTCCGTCCGTCCGTTACGGACGGACGGACAGACGGACAGGCGTTACGGACGGACGGACATGACGAGCACAATGGCGTCAAGTCCGTCCGTCCTAGACTGTCCGTCCGTGACTTCACGTCCTAGACTGTCCGTCCGTGACTTCACGTCACGGACGGACGAGAAAATACGCTCTCTGTCACTCACTGCAGTGAGTACTGATCTAATTTTTTCCATAAATGAGAAAACGCGCTAAAAATGGCCCAGCTTTGTTCGTCCTGCATCCCGCACTTGCCTAGCAAGTAAATACTGTATCCCGCACTTGCCTAGCAAGTAATTCGTCCTCCTGGGGTCGATCTGATCGAACTGCCCTTTGTTCCAGACGTATTCAGCGTGAAGGCTCCGTTGCTTCTTGTCGTGCACCCACTCGTCTATCAGATGGCGGCCATCTGATCGCCTGCCTCTCTGGTCTCGCTCTTCCTTGTCTGCCTCAGACTCCGGCAGGAGATGGCGTCTGCCACCTCCTAGCAACACCTAGAGCATAGACAATTTTTAAAGTACCCCTTTTTAGCCGTTTTCTATGAATTTCACGTTTTCTATCAATTTTTTCGAAAAATTCATAGGAGCAAAATGTTTTTTTTTTTACATTTTACGTATGTATGTGAAGTTTCATGACAATCGGATAATAACTGTAGAAGTTTTCCGTTTGCTAGGTCGGTCCCCTTAATGCTTTGTTCGCTTAATAGTTATGAGCCGAGCAATGTTTTTGAAGTTATCATCCATGTCATTTTAATTGTAGAAATTCTATCAATATTTGGTCCATGAATCAATTCTGAAATCTGTGGATCGACATTCCATCTATCGTTTACTCACTTGGAATTGTTATCTCAGATTAACGATGGTGATAAGAAATCAGTCTCAGAGTTAACTTTCACTTTTAAGTCAGTATAATCAGTTAACATTATGGTTTTGATAGTGAAGATTTTTGCCGTCGCAATTACAGTCATTGTACCTGATATTACTTAGCATGTCAGCCTACATGCTAATTAACGGGTAGCAATTGCTGTACAATAAACATCACTTGATTACGAAGTGTTGAAAGTATGAAACCAAATTTTTAATTGAGAATAAAAGTTCACTCTTAGCTTGACTGTTTTTGCCTTTTTTTTTTTTTTTGGTTAAAGAATCGTATCCTGTTCTAGACCTCATCTTATTTTCGTGTTAGATTAAACTTTAATGAATGAAGCAACGTTGGATTCTACAGAAAATGTAGTAATGAATGCTTAAAAGAACTTTCTTTTTCTCATTAACATTCAATCGTAGCCAGATTTGCAGTAGTATCGAGGAAGTCATTATTTTTAGACGCACTAAATTAAGCTCTTAACGCGAAAATTATTCTTTGATACGTACAGAGCATAAATAATCGTCGACTTGATTAGTTAGAGAGCAAAGATAGCAAGTTACTTCTTTTAATTACTTGAGTAAACCACTTTTTTGAAAATTTAAGATACTTGTATTCCAAAGCACGTATTTTGCCCATAATAAAAAAAAAAAAAACGGAGAATCGTGAATTCAACCGAACAAAATTTGATGTCTTAAAATATTCTGAGCATTTGTGAATATTGTCCGGTTTCAATCTGGCATCTCATTTTATTCAATATAATTATTGTGGATAGAATGAGACGCCAGATTGACACTGAACAATAGGTAAGCAAATACAATCTCATCAGATTCTATCCGAACACAGATGTAAACAGACAGCTTTTTATGACAAAAAGACATTGTGATGTATAGTTTAGTTTTAATTTGTCCTAATAAACTGCTTGGAAAAATCACGCATTGAATAGAATCACTAATTCGTCGAACTCATGATAATAATAATAGTGAAATGTATAAAAAAAGAAATGAAGCTCAAAATTATCATGACAGCTAACCGCAATAAACATGTTCGCCTTTTCTCTGTATCAGCGGTCTGTCCACCGCTTAGTACAGAGTGAAATATTGGTTAAAAAAGGCTAAACTGTTCTTGTAAATGCATTTCAGAGCTTACGTTAATGTTTCTGCCAGGCAGGTCCTCGATGAGTTGTCTCGCAATATCTTTACACACAGCCTTGGAACGCATCCCCATCCTAGAGTCGTCTTCCCAGTATCTGAAAAATTAAAATCACGAAGTTAAAAAAATCTCGCTGGTTAAAAAAAATCATGCGAATAGAAAAAATATAACTCATTACTCACTGCAGTGAGTGACACAGAGCCCATTTTCTCGTCTACGAAAACTTGAGGTCACCGACGGACAGACGGACAGATAGACAGACAGACAGAAGGACGGACATGGCGAGCACAATAGTACATTTTTTTCCATAAATGAGAAAATGCGCTAAAAAGGCTTGAAAAATAATAAAATTTGTAAACAGATCGCAATTCAGATCGTTTTGAAAAATTCACATGGCTTAAAGAATTTTGTTACCAGTTTAAATTAAACACATTGGAACTTTCACGGCTTGAACTTGACAAACTAATTTTACGCCTCCTTTCCGAAATGATTGATTTGGGAAATTGGCGGCTCTTATTGATAAATCCTCACAGACACAGATTACCGTAAAATTTATAGTAAAATACAATGTACACTTAGTTTCACGAACTACTTAGACATAAATAGTCAGATGAATTAATTTTACTGAACGGAACTGATTATTTTAAATATGTATTGGAACATGAGGCCTGTAAAAATTAACCAGCCTCTTTCAATTAATTCCAATTCCTCAACTTTAAACTTAAATTTGCTAGGTGAAAAATAACGCTGCTGTGCAAATGAAATGGAGCTTTCGTTTCATGCATTCGAAAATCTACATTTCAGGGCTTGAAATGCGCGAGCAACAAGAGTAAATAAATACTTTCGATGATAAATATATATGTTGATAAACTAAAAAAAATCAGTATGCTCCTTGTAATTCCTGTTGAAGTAACGAACATTTGTACCGCAGTGATTTTAATGCTATGCTTTATTAATACACACCATCAATTACTGGAGGGAACTGAAATTAAACATTTGCCATTAATAGAATAAATTTTCATCCTAAATTCACGTACACAAATACGAGTCGATGGCCAAGAAACATTGCATTAACCCGAGCTCTGGTTTTTATTGAAGTATTTTGGTAACAATTTCGTGTGTGGCTGAACTGTGGAGTTTTGCGTTACTTGATCTTCCGCTTCTTTATCCTTTCGAATTGCAGTATATTGGAGATGCTTCGGATATTGCAACGGATTAAACCCAAAATATTGAATGTTTTCTGACCTCGACACCGGGTGCAATATATTGCATGTGGTCGCATTCCGGAAATGTTAACGAACAGGAATTGAATTTTTCAACTAGTCAAATAACATTGATCAAGTTCAGAGTTTATAATCAAAGTTACCCAATTGCTGAATATGTTTTCATGAGTGAATGGATAGTTCAAGTGATAAGGGTTTTATAGATCTGATGTCAGCTGTCAATTGTCTTGGGTCAGTTTTACAGGAATTCGACAGTCGATTTAGTAAACGAGATATATAGGTTGAAAAGAATAGCAATTCATATTAACAATTAACGTACTTGATGGCCGTACGATAGAATATCGAATAAATTAGCATAGGTATAAAAAAATCACTGCATCACATCCCTTTGTGCTGAAGGCCGCGGCTGGCAGTTGATGAAGAGCCTTATAGGATAGCACCAAATAAAGCGCGGGCCACGGCTAGGCTGGATCCACTGATGGCTTACAAAGGACCATGTTTTAACGTTTAACAAGCTGTGGGAGCTTTGTGTCGGTCCACGTATCTTGTATGCAAATTGCGTAGCGTGAAGCCAGACAGTTTCGACATATTCTTTTGCCTTTGGCAGTTCTGGATTATTGAGAACCTTTTTATTTCCTGGTAACAATGTTTTTCCCACACCAACGTATTTGCTGGTGCCTATATATTCCCTGGCATCCATGTATTCCATAGTACCTATGTAGTTTCTGGCACTTAATTATGCGTTTCACTGCAAAGGCTAAAATTCGGCACTGCACATAAAAATGTTTTCTGCTCAAAACATTAGCCGTCCGATGAAAAAATCCATCAGGTGAGTGACGTGCCAAGCCAGAATATGATTTATGATTAATTTTACATGTTTTTTAATATCAATACTAATTATATATATTATGAGCAAAGAACTTCATTTTTATTTTACTGCAAAAAATTAAATATCTATTGAATTGGTGATTTTATTGAAATACCAAAACAATGTAAATTCTTCTTACATTTTTTAAGCCAATAGGTTATCAATCAAATTACAGGGAACCATAAACTGACAAATAAAATTAACCCCCTTCAGAAGGTGTATACAAACAATAAACCCTTCGGTTAAGAAACCCTACAAAAAGTATTTCAATCATTTAAAATAAACTTCATTAGAGCAAGCAATTACAGTCGCAAGTTAAAAAAGTTGAAATTATATGTAACTTATCCAATGTGACAAGTACATTGTTCGAAAAAAAATTCTAACATGCCTTCTTATTCAATTTGTGCATTGACCAGACATTCATTAAGCTTCCTCCATTACCACAATGCATGAATACTGTAATTCTCTCCACTAGATCACAAGGTGCATTGTTTGAATCACTAAAAGAAGCGCTTTTGCTAACAAGTTCTGTGGCCGAGAAGGTATAAAGTCCCCGTTATTATACGGTCTGTAATTCCAGGCTTTGTTCAATGCATTACCCGCAGCCGTCATCGCCCCCAATAAAGAAGTCTCATATCTGAGGGGTCGTCAAATGGCGGACTCATAACCATCGCTGCCACTGAATAATGAACGCTTGTGATAAGTGAGCAGTCAGGTCAGCGGCACGCGCTACCAGCTCTCTCTTCGCCAAGGTTATTGCACGAAAATGCTTTTTTATAAATAAATCTTTAGGAGATTCTTCAGGTTTGTCCATGTCAGTAGGAGAACAAGTGATTTCTTGATGCTTATTAACCGGTTTCTACGGATGAATACAAAACATAGTCTAAGTAATAGAACCAGAAATTTATAAAATTATGTAATTCATATCAAAGTTTCCACCTATAATAAAACAATTATCAATTATTTTATCGAATTACTGAAGGTTCGGGATACGCAAATAGCGCAGCAGACAGACAAATGGTGACTAATCGAGCTCGCCCAGCTAAACTTCGTCTTCCAAATTTTTTATCAAGTCAGCTTATACGTGATACGGAACGAAGGACTTTAACAGCTTTCGTTTCATATGTTTTAATTTAAAGCTTTTGCACCAGGTAAATTCATTGTATTTCGTTCTGACACCGAAGACAAAAATTTTAACATGTATTTCATTGACATTTTATCATATGTTTCTTTCTAGATATTTTGCTATTGTGTCTTCTATGAAAATTTGATCGGTGTACAAGTTGTAAGTCATCGCAAATAAAATGTTTCGTTTCAAAGCAACTACCGGGTCAATGTGCTACCTGGATCAATCTGGAACGCTGTGTTAATCTTCTATCAATTATCATATATATGATCAAATCTAATTAGCTTCCTTGCGATTTTAAAAATATTCAACCCCATTATTACCCCTACAACCAATTATTGATTAGAAGGCGTGTAACTGTAACTCATAACTGTATTATCAACCCACTGGTGTGCATGTTCCCACCCACAGTTAGTTGGTGATTAACGGCCTAAGTTTAGAGGCAGCGTATTGAATTAGATAATTTGTAAAACTTCTGCGGCGCCGTCTTATAAAAAGTCTTTCCATTATTAATTAGCGTCGGCAGTTATTGGAAGCTTATTCGGGGAATGAGCAAACTTTAGCAGCGACATTGAAGGCAATTATGGAATGACTGGGATAACTGAACGTTCGATTTACACGCTATGCAGCTGCTTGTATTATAGTAACTTGGTATATTCTAGCGACCGAAATTCAGTTCAAAGTAGTGTGATTAGTATTTGTGGGAACCTTAATTTAGTACAGAGAGATTAAATATTAACATATATAAAAGTTATGTTCGTCTGCCAATATAGGAAAACAATTACTGCGATAAATTTCGACGAAGTGCATGGAAAAAGAATAAATTTTTCAACCTTGTCCAACGTATGATCTATGAGGAAATCGATCGAACAAAAATGAACGTGAAGCTCAGCATTTGCAGAAGCAAGAATAATTATACTAGTACAAAGGTAAGATGGATACTTCTGTATATATATGAACATAAAACAAGTATGTTGATTACTTATGCGCAAAATGAAACTGATGAAAGGTAAATCGATTTCATTTCACCAAATATCGTTAATAGGGAAAGTGAGCATTATATTATGGGTACAGAAACATATGAATTACAGTAACTCACCTGCTGGCTGAATGAGCGTACAGGGCAGATGGCGTCCCGTGTGTCAGTCTTGTGTTGGTGACGATGCCGGTGCTTTTGCCTAAATAAAATATACGATTTGCATTCATGCGTATGATTTTAATCTGATTACCCATACGATTATGAATGAATTATATCTTAAGCCTTTCTAATGATTCAGGAGAATAATAAATTAAATAAATGATATTATATAAACAGGATTATTTTCGACATTCGCGTTTTTTTTTTTTTTTTTTTTTTTTTTGAAACTGTAACATAATTCTAATCCGCTCAAGTGGTCTAGATGAATTTTCTGTGCATAATTTTTTTTCAGTTCTCTGCACCTGTATAATTAAAAGCCTCCACGATTCACCTAATATATTTTCAAAATTATCGATCGTGTTGTCCTCGCTTATTATATTTTTATGCACAACTTTAAATTTTTTCTTGCGTGGACTGAAAAACACTCTGACTCGCAGTATTTGTATACACAGTATAAGTTGGTAGGTTAACATAATACTTAATAGTTTAAAAAGATTGTGTTACCAAAATAGATCGTAGTGTTCTCTATCATCATTTATTCACTCGCAAATTTTAAAGTAACCTTTAATAATAACAATTTCCGCTGCACGCCCTACACTGAAAAAAATACAACTCGGTACTCACTGCAGCAAGTGACAGAGAGCGCATTTTCTCGTCGACTTAAAACATGAAGTCACGGACGGACAGACCGACAGACAGACGGACAGACTTACGGACGGACGGACATGACGATCACAATAGCGCCTTTTTTTCCATAAATGAGAAATTGCGCTAAAAAGCGCGAGTCTCACCGTGTTTTTGTGCCCAGTCAATGAGCGAAGGGACCTGCGCGTTGAAGGAGTCGAGGCACTCTTCAAACTTGACGCGGTGGTCCACACCGACGGTGTTAACGTTAGCCTTCACACCACACATTAGTGCCGTGGCGCACCCTGTACTGTCGCCGATCTGGGAGTCCGTCGTGTATGTCTGTGGGGGAGATTTAAGTTCCTTTATTAAGTTAAATATGCATGATATTTAATTATGGGTCATGGTTTTATTCCTTAGTTGGTGCGCCGTTTAATCAGTGACGAGCGAAACAAATATTCAAACAAAAAATTGCAAAATATTTAATTTTATCAATTAGTTTTTTAGTGTATGATTGAATTTATATGCAGTTAGTTAAATATGCCTAATGTAGTTAGTTGACATGTAGTTATGACCCCATGTAGTTAGGTATGCCTGACATTTAATTAGGGGTAATGATTTTAGTTTTTAATTGGCGCGCTGTTTACGTCAGTGACCAGGAAAACGAAAATTAAAAAGAAAATTGCGGAATATTTAATTTTGATAATGGGTTTTTAGAGTATAATTGAATCGATCTATAGTTTCTATTCTTGCATATATCGCGTTAATATCACAACAAGTGAAGAAATAAATAGCATGCCTACTTACTAATAGGCAAAAACTTTTATTAGCAATGGGAATAATATTTTTGCAGATGATATCGGAGTTTGAATTTTACTGATTACCATTTACGTCTGAAGTTCTTTCGTTCAATAAATCCGTTTATTCTTTCGCGTGCACTAAGTCTTTCGTTGTGGGAGTCATTTTTTCCTGCAAGTCTCTCGTTCTGCATGTCAATCATTCAGCAAATCGTTTGTTCTGTAAGTTTCTCCTTCGTTAAATCTTTCATTCTGAAAATCATTTGTTGTACAAGTCTTCTTTCTGTAAGTCCTCGTTTCTATCAGTCCATTCTCATGCAAGTCCTCTTTACTATCAGTCATTCGTTTTGCAAGTCCGCTATTTCACAAGTCATTCCCTACTCAAGTCCTCTGTCCAATCAGTCATTCGCCACGCAAATCATCTCTTCTCTCAATCATTCGTTGTGCAATTCGTCTATTTTATAAGCCATTCGTTATGTAAGTCCTCTTTATATCAGTCATTTGCTTGGCAAGTCCTCTGTTCTATCCGTAATTCGATATGCAATCCTCTGTCCTATTAGTCATTCATTATGAAAGTCCTTTGTGTTCTCAGTCATTCACTATTCAAATCCTCTGTTCTATCAGTCATTCGTAAAGCAAGTTCTTTGTTATGCAAAACCTTGAGAGAGCTACTGTAAAAATTAAGAAGCTTCTCTTGTGTTACAGGCGAAAAACGAGAAAATACGAGTTCAATTTTTCATTAGGAATTTTTAATTTTGACCTCGGAAATTTATACTTTGCCAGGAATGATTTAAGAAAATTCAACCCTGTACCTACGATTATGCCATTACAATAATTTTTTTCTGTAACAATAAATCATTATTCCATTTTAGCGAATTGCGATACAAACTTTTCACAATGCAAGCTTCCGCGATATTATAGAAGTTTCAATCGATTTCCAAATGAAGATTTTAAACAAAAATAATTTGTTTATCTATCAAAATATATTTTACGTACGCTATGTAATCGAAGCTTTTATAGAAACTTTGCCAATGAAGATCTTTGTTCGTTCTTTGTAAGAAGTTCTAGGAACTTGGGTTATAGCGTCGTTCTGCAACACCCACCTCAATATTTGTTTTGGATTGACTTTCCGAATGTAATCGAACTTGTGCGCGTTTGCCGGTATTGTACAAAAAACTTATTTTCACTGGCAGCGCAGACCTCGGAAAATTGCGTACAAAAGTACAATTCGTTGATGCGTGCACGTACAAAATGCCGCGAAGAAAATCTTAGCATAAAATGTTTTGTGAAAAGGCTGCGGCCGCAAGCCAGAATCATCGAAAATTAGAATGCAGACGTCAGAGGGCTTTTTCCTTACCTGGACTTTTTTGCGGTTACATGCATGCAAATTCTTAAGTGAGGGAAATAATTTTGTTTTAGATATAAAAAAACACTGAAATTTACGTTTTATTTATTTTTCTGTGTTCCTATTTCAGGTTTGTCACTCCATAATTCTCAGTGACTAATTAATACTCATAGATTTATATAAATTATAATGTAAATAGTGAATGTTGTCAACTTATATTATTACTACAAGCAGCTGCATAGCGTGTGAATCGAACTTATATTAGGCCGGCAATGATAATTTTTATTCAATTTTAGTACTTTTGGAAAAAGGTCTCGAATCAATATCAAATTTATGTTACATGTCTCTGCAATCCATAAATTTTTTCTCAACTAACTTATTAATTCTTAGAATTGAAATTAATAGTGAAACATAAAAAAATTGAGATCTGATCTATTCTGCTATGTAAATGTTCACTTTTCAACTTTTATTTACGGTGAATTATTAGAATCAATAAATTTTGTGAAGCCATCATGTTCTAATGTGTCATGTATGTTACGACTCATATGTTTGGAAGACATTGATTTAAATAAAAATTGCGCAAATCGCAATGATTTGAATCACGATTAATAACAATTCATAATTCAACTTGCCAATCAACTTGGAAATGCAACGAGTAAAAATGTATTATAATATGTATTGCCAATTATGCAAAAAAAATTGCCAAAGTATTTTAATGAAATGCAGCACGTAAAAGTGAGTTTAGCACGAACACAATTCGTTTCAACAAGAATGCCAATAAATAAAGTCATATAAAATTTCAATTAAAATCAAGCCAACATAGAAATAATTCCTTATACTTTCTAATTAACAGATAATATTTAGGATGGAATAAAGGCAAACATTTTTATTTTTAATCTCGAAGATCAAGAACTGCGATAAAATTTTTATTCTAGCAATCATAAACATTTATAGCCGAGACATTCCTTGGAGCATAACACTGACCTTGTCCTCACTGATCTATTAAATGATGACCAGCAATAAAACTGCCATTTAAATTATGTCATATAATCAAATGAAATGAGTAGTCAGGAGATGAATTTACATTACATGCATTCACATCACTAACGCCAATAAGGACTCATGAATTTGAATACTTTCAATATTCTGGTCTTGATGAATACTCAAAGATTTGCGTTAGTCTTGTGCGTCTGTTAGCCCTATAATATGAACAAATTTTGGTTTTCTCATTTATCAAAGTGCGTTAACATTTTACGCTCGGTAATTTGAAATTAACAGTAAATTATTGAAAATTTGTAATTTTTAGACGGAAATTTTAGAAGCAGAAGTGGGATAGGAAAATTGTTGTTGTCACGTTTCTTTTAAAGATATTCCCTCACCACGGCTCTGTCGAACTCTGATAAAATCATATAGAAAGCATAACTAAGGGAGTAACTAAGTCTCTTTCCACCAGGCATCTGACGTTGAAATAACGTCTATCTCACTATTTTTCAATGAAATCAACTCGTAATAAACATTGTTGCAACGTCATTTGCGGGGAAGAATTTGCCTTGTTTGGTCTCCTGTGATTCAAATAATTTTTGATGTTGAACTCATGGGCTGAATATCATTCAACGTTTCTAGCAAACCTTTCGAAATCTTCCGTAGATACTAGTTAACGTTCTAATGAGTTTATCAACGAAATCAAATAACGTCAACAAAAAATTTACCTCTCTCTCGTAATTTGACATCATTGATCAATATTTGGTAAGCACTGAAACGCCAATAGTTGCGCATTCAGAAGTTGGCCCGAGTTCCCATGCGTGAATGATAATAATTTCGTACAGCAAGTTTTGAGGCCGCACAGTAAAAGAGCTGTGCCATATAGCGAGCTGATCGGTGGGGTCGTTTATTGCAGCAGCGCTAGAGCTCTGCGCCGCGCGGCTCTCTATGTCACTCACGGCTAATTAGGGTCGAGATGCTCGTAAATTTTCCACGAAAATTCTCCATCAGAAGCAAGAAAATCTAGACTCCGAAGAGCTTAGAAAGTCTGATTACCACAAGCAGAGTCCGCATGTTTCCACGTAACGTAAACAGAACTTAGGGCCCTTGTCTTCGGCTTGACGTAAAAACTGGCAGCATTAATTTGAGCAGATAAACCGAGTGTTGAGAAAAAGATGTTTAAGAATTGCGTTCACGCCTAATCTGGTCACTAACTTAGCCCTATCAAGGAGAACCATCCCATTACTGCGTCCGCTTGCATATTCTCTCATTAAGAGACGATTAGGTAAAATAAATTAGCAAATATTTTTAAATGTATTTAAATTGATGAACAAAAAGACCCAGATATTTGAAATTAAGTGTTGGACAAGAATAATTATTCATCATGATTATAATAAAATAATGTTCTATTGTTTATTGTGACCCGAACATTGTCTAGATCGCGTTTAAACTGAGTCACATCTACCATCTTCAAGAACTTTTTTCCTCTGTACCTCTGGTAGTTCGTGTAAATTAACCCACTCTCACAATTGCTATATTGGGTGCCTAAGCCATGTATAAATTATAAACGCAAAATTCCTAAGCACTGGAAATACGGTCTGTAAAACAGGCCAATGCGTTCTTGTCCAAAACTGTCATAACCTTAAGCATGAAGGCATTACTTGCCCGTCCTGGCATAAAAACCACAACTCTCGCAATCCCGAAGAGAATCCCGCTAAGCCGCTAGGATTTGCATGCCTTGCATTACCGTCGCAAAGCTGGAGTTTTTGCGCACTGAATAACAACAAGAAGAAGGCCTCAATTGTTTAGAATAAATGCAAAGCTGCGCGGTTGTTTCCTAATCAAAAAGATTACTGCAAATTAACAACACCGGGAATACAACGACTGAACAAACGTCTGCTGATTTATTAAACCGCTTAATGCTGTAAAAAACATTAAAGATTACGCATATTAAATTAGTGTATATAACAATAACGCTTGACATTTCAACTTGGCTTGAACGACAAATAATGATGCTACGTGATATGAATAACGATGATGTGCTGGAATATATTTGTACGAGCAAAACAAAATGTCACAGCAATTTAGCTGACTCAACTCAACACCCCCTCAATTAAATAGAAATTTTATGCTCAAGAGGGACCGATTTAGCGTTACGGTATATTGGAAGCATCTATGAATAGAAGGTACGTAAACCTATCAGACCCAATTCCCGACCA